ACGTTAACGTTACGTTACGTTACGTTACGTTACGTACGTACGTACGTACGTAGTACGTACGTACGTACGTACTACTACTACTACTACGTACGACGAACGAAGAAGAGAGAGAGAGAGAGAGAGAGAGAGAGAGGACCAAAAAAAGATATGGAGAAAACTTGAGGTCTGAGTGGAAACAAAGCGCTGGCCACAAGGTAAAACTTTAGATTTGAGAAAATACTGAGAGGAAAATTAACTAACAAAAAAAATACCCTTTGAACTTTGTTAGCACACCTAGGCAAAACTTGTTCTGAAATTCACAGATAATTCCATTTCTTGACCTCGTATATCAGGCATAGCAATAGTGCACACAAGCATATTTATGATGCTTTATTCATGGCCTAAATTCTTGTAACATTCAACGAGGTACCTGATTCGCTTGGCATTTGAAACATGAAATTCCCATTTTTACCAAATGTTTTTTACCTTTCTTTTCATCAAAGTGGACAATGTGAACTAGCAGTCTATGTAGTTTAAAATTTTTCTTTTGCGATACCCTCTAGAACACTTACATATCTCCAAGTATGACAATTAAAACTCAAATAAATAAAAGGAAAACAAAATAGGGATTCTCACTTGCTGCCAGTTTCAAAAAATCTTCATCATAACAAAATATTACATCAATTGAGATTGGAAACAAGAAAACATAAGAAAGCATAAAACAAGACAATGTGCCAAAAGATTACCTCTTATGGACTTTTGCACACCCCACACTGGGTCTCCTCCACCGATAGTGCATGGAATCTAGGTCTTTATTGAATTTCAGCAAATGGGAAGTTACACCAAACCTTTTACTGAGTACTTGAGAGCATGCATACACAAGATTGGGGTCTCTCTTTTTCTCTGACAATGTGGAGTGTGCCCCCTTTTATGTATCAAACCCTTGGGGCGTGCCCCTTTCTTTTCTCTTAGATATTATGTGAGAGAGAAAAGAGTATATAGGGTGGTGTGCCAACTATGAGGGGGGAGAGAGAGAGACAGAGAGTGAGAGCTCAAGGCTAAGGTGTGTCTGAGATGAGCCCCCTTTGAGATGCTATAAAGAAGTGAGATCAAGGTTTGGGTTTTGGGGTTTGGTCATCCTTGTGAGATTCTATGTAGACCATTGATCATAGGTGACATGTGGGGTGAGAGATCTTAGCCATACAATCCATAGATTGGGCATCATGATCTAATGGAAGGTTCTGGAACCTTATGCCTCAGCATCTTTAACCTAATCCTATCAAATATTATGTGTAGAGAAAGTATGTTATGTATTTCCTTTTATTTTTAATCAATCTCTATACATTCCCCTTTTGAAATCAATTAACCTCGTTTAACAAATTTTCTATTGCATTCAAATCAAAATGCATGGTTTAATCATCAAGCTACACTAAATAGAACGGAGAAAAGTGGGGCCTCCCACTTATGGAGGCATAGTGGGCCCCATGCCGCTCATCAAGGTGGGCCTAAAACTGGGGGGCTCTAATGTATTATGGGCCCCCATAAGGTAAAATAATTTATAGATAAAATAAAATGATTTTTAGGAATATTTAGATATTTTATTCTAAATATTTAGATAATTTACAGAGAAATATTTTTTTCTCTGAATATTTAAATACCTGAAAATTCAGTTTTGGCTTATTTAAAAGTTAATTTTGATGAAATAAAATATCCAAAGACTTTAAAAATTTATTTTAATTTTTTAATAATTATTTAAAGCAAAATTAATTATTTCTAAATTAATTTGATGGGAATCAGATCCAACTTTGCCCAGTCATCGCAATTGGTGCATGGGGGCTATCCCTCGCATATGTACATGCAACACCCTCAATGGTGTTTACTTCTCAATACAACTATCATATGCATATGCCTTGTGATAGTCATGATGAAGATTCTCTTCAGGCCTAGCAATCACACACAAGGGTCACAGTATCCTGTGGCCAACTACCTTGGTCATCTCTCAGACCTTATCAAGAGTTAATCCTATAAACCCTTCTCGGTTGTGCTATATGCCCAAGTATCATAGAGTTTTGGAACTCAACTTGGCATGGCTCGTCAAAGCCCAGTTTGAGTTTTGGCATCAATAAAACTATCATATGCAACATTTATTCATTTTGGGATTCTATTATGGAGTTAATCAGATGTTTCCACCTTCATTCCACCAGCTCTGTCGAAATGTTTTATATGTTGCTATTGGGTCCTCTGTTTGCCAGAAGTGATGGCTTTCTATGCATTCATCACATCAACATAAACTCCCATGTATAAACTAGGGGTGTTGGTCTGTAAATTTCTCCAATGCTAGCCTTCTCAAAACTTGTCAGTGGCATCAACTATATACCTATGTTCTTTGAGTTTTCATGATTGTGATATGAAGCCCTGTTCCAAATGTCAAGACCACTAATTTCATAAGGCTCATGCATCCATATCTACTCAGCACGGATTGCGAACTTGCTTCTAGTGACAAATGGTAATGTTTATCATGAGAGAAGGTAGCCTTATTTAATGGCATATTCACTTTCCCATTGTTGTGCCTTGAGATAGAGAATTAAACCCTACTTGTGTAGCTGAAGATGGGTGTGTAGTAGCACTAGAATTGTGAGGGCGGGAGATGGTCATCACCATTATTGCTTTCTCTCTTCTCTCTCTGAAAAGGAAATAGCACTGGGTTTATTTAATCTAGAGAGAGAAAACCAGATGAATCAAATTTCACCTGCAATTTTCAGAACAAATTTAGCAGAGAAGCAAAGCCAGATCATAAAAACCAGATGAATCAAAGACTCAGAGTAGTGAGATTAGAGAAGAATCCGATGCTTTAGAAGAGGGAGTGGGAGATACTTAGGGACAATATTATGAAAGAATTGGAAGGATGATGTAAGACCAAGGAGGCTCAGTACCTAAATAAGTGTAACACATTTGAGGTGAGCCTAGAACAAAGGGTTTTGGTTTGGATGTGTAGTTCTAATTAGGCTAGGATTTAGGAAACTTAGAAGGTTTTAGGTTCCTACAAAGTTTAGGATAGTGGGGTTTTGGCCCTTACGAAGGTTTCCTAATATGGGTAGAATTGGATAATAGGTCTAAATGGAGTAGAACTAGGGTTAGGGAAGAGTTGGTTGGCTTAAGGCAAGGTTTAGGACAGGTTTTCTTGTTTTCCAAGGGGTTGAACCTTTCTGGAATTTTTCAATCCAGCAAGACAAGAAGGTTGTAACTTGTAAGAGTGGTTTTAGTATTGAATAGGGCAAATATATGGTTTGAGGGTATAGGGGTATGGGTGATGGATTTTAGGTGGTGGTGCCTAGCTAATTAGGTTTCAATAAGGGATGTTTTGGAAGACATCAAGAAAGGTGAAGAATTTGATTTGAGAGATCTTGAGAAGAAGGATGGATGGTGGTGTTCTACTCAAGAAGAAAGGGCCCAAGCTTGGGGAGAACTTCCAAGCCACAAGCTAGGGTTTTGGGGTATCTCCCCACATAAAACGAAGAGGGACCCTAACTTATGGGGAAATTCTTGTAAAACTACGCTAGCCTTGTAGATTCGCTTTCTACAAAAAGTATTGATGATTCTCTCCTTTAAAGGTGGTTTCACACGACAATGGAACCCAAATTTTTTCACTCAACTTGAATTTTGTTCTATTGCGAGTCACTCTTTAATTTGACGTAAATTAGGACTCCAGCTATCTCTACCATCTGAAACTACCCAATTTTCTTTATGCTTTTAAACTTAGGTAACTTGGTCCTATTATGGTATTAGGAAACTCGGCCCTTATTGTTGGGGTTATGTGGCCGTTTAAAGGCCTCATGAGAGCATGTAAAACTATGACTATAGTGATGTGATAGCTCCAGTGGGTGCATAGTCTAGATGGACTGTGTGGCATGGTTTAGGGTGGACTGTGAGGCATCGTTGATGCCATGACTCACCTGAGTTTTGACGGGCTATGGCTCAAGTTGATGTGTTAAAACGCATAGCCCTGTGCATTTGTGCACAACCGATAAGGGTTCCGATGTGGGGTTATCCCTTAATGAGGTCAGAGTTGTTCCCAGGGTGGTTGGCTAGGGGACTGGGTGTGACCTCTGTGTGTGATGGTTGGCTAAAGAGAACAAGGGCCAAATCCTCATCATTACCATCGCACATCATGTACATTAGACAGCCATCCGGGAAGCTATCCTCAGGATGAGGGTGTGTCGTGTACATGTGCGAAAGAGATGTCTCCTTGTAATACTGGATTGTGTTGGAAAGACCCATAAGGTATTCTACTAGAATGGGGCCTGAACTTGTCATCAGGGAGGAACCTGTAATCCATGGGCTAGGATCATGTCTCCTTCATTTATTGGCTGACTTTGATAGTCCATGCATGAACCCTTGCAAAAGACTGTGGGTCATAGGAATTATTGGGTCAATTTGAGAAGATGACAGTGAGATGCAATTTTTAGAAGGGATGTAGTCCTCAATATATTTGTGATATTCCTAGCTCTTTGGATCCAATTCCCATCAAATCTTCCTAAATATGTTTAGTTATGTTTTAGTTATATTTTAGATAATTAAAATGAATATTTAGATCTCTCTTGATGTTTTATTTTAGTGAAAAATGATATTTAACTAAGCAAAAATCAATTTTCTGGATTTATTTAATTTAGAGAGAGAAAAATATTTATTGGTTTTCTAAAGTTCATTTTATTAATCTAAAATTCTTTTGGGGGTGTGGGGGCTCATTAGGACTTTGGGCCCACTGCATATGTGTCCATTGGGTGGGGGCATGGGCCCACATTGCCCACCATGTGTGGGATGCCCCACTTAATTCATTCTTTCCTTTTGAGTGTTTGAAATTAAAGGAAGGTTTTGCGAAATAAGGATTGATTGTTTAAAATAGGAAGGTGTAGAGATTGATTGAAATCTGATATTACATACATAATATTTTTTCTAGATAAATATTTGATAGGAACAGAGTTATGGAAACAGAGGGATAATGGTTATAATTTATTCTTTTAATAATGATGGCTCATCTAAGGAATGAAGGGCTAAGATCTCTTTTCCCCACTGGTCTTCATGGTCTATGGTCAAGATTAAGTCTCATAATGATTGCAAAAACCTAGACCCAAAAACCCTAACTTCCTCTCTTTATATATTCTCTATGGGTTGTGTTCTCTACACACTTGCAATTGGATTGGCCTCTCTCTCTCCCATCGGCAGGTACACCCGACACTCTTTCTCTCTCTTGTTTCCCTTTGTTTTAGGGTTTCAAACATTGTGTGTGTGTGTGGTGAAACCCTAAGGGGCAGGCCCAAGCCACTAAGGGGTGGCACGCCCTAGACTAGACTGTACATGTGCTTATGTCTTGTGGTGTGAGATTACTTCCATCTCAAGTCATGCTCTCAAAAGGTTTGACCTAGGCTTCCCCAATTATGTGACAAAGTTAGGATCGAGATCTCGTGTGCCATTGGTCGAGGAGAACCGGTGCGGGTTGTACGAAGTCCTTGAGGATAAATTGAGACAAGGTATTTGGTAGGGTGGCAATGAACCCTACCCGACTGGGACCCAATCCGGGTTCAAGTATGGGTCCAAAACTTGGCCCCGGTGGGTCGGGCAGGTCCAAGTATTGGACCCAAACACTATTCGAGTTCGGGTTCATGCGGACGCGACTTGACCCGTTCTGAATAGTGCTATTATTTAAATAATATATAATATATAATATTTTATTTAAATAAATATATATTTAACATAATATAAATATTTTAAATTTTATTAAATAAATATAACTATACATTATAGTTATAATATTTAAATAATACATGTATATATTTAACATAATATATATATATATATATATTTTATTTATTTTGGGTCTGGTCCAATCAGGTCTCGGGTCTGAGTTCGATCGGGTCAAGGACTAGTCGGGTTCGGTCGGATCCAGACCCAACCCGACGCGTTGCCACCCCTAGTATTCGGTAATTCTAATAGCTCAATGTTTCTTGATTCTTCATGCATTTTCGTATGATTGTAAAGAATTGTAATGATATGCAAGGGAAGATCCTAAGTTCTATTAGGGTTTTTTTTATGAATATAATTGTAATTTTGGACACCTGTAGCTGTTCTAGCCAGTATGAATAAAAGAAAAAAGAGAAAATTTTTAACTATATATACTTGTCTAGATCACATTGTCGATCTTTTACTTATAACACATGGAAATAAGCTTTCCAGACTCCTCCGTTATTTTTACCTTTCAAGTAGAAGATTATGAACTGACCTTTTTTTGTTGTAAATGTAAATTTTAATGCTCTTTCTTCTCATATAGGATTCTTTTCTGATAATGAGACTCAACAATATTTTATTTTGGTTCTTGGTTTTGTTGAGAATATTTTTTTTGTTGCTTAGTTAATATTGAAATTATTTAATTTTTATGGAATAATACAATCCTCACTAATCTAATGTAATGAATTGCTAAATAATGGTTGTTCAGGCTATATATCATACAACTTTGTTATTGGAGCTTATTCTTATTGGGGGCCGAAAGCTGGTTATGATATCTACCATATGGTAATACCTTATGGCCTTGAGAATTTATCGTACAATTCAATATGTTGTTTTATCACTTTAATTTGTGATGTGTACGTCTATTAACTATTATTGTCTGTGGTTGATAATATTATCATTAGCAGCTGATCTGCTATTGTGTGCTTAGCATTTTGTAGAATAAGTTGATTATCTTGTCAAGCCCAAATGGGCAACAATGTTCTCCAATTTTATTGTGATCAACACATTATTGACGCTTATGATCAACACAATATTGACACATATGGGGCTGATGCCCATAATCACACTGTATGTGATCCAAGTATTGGGATCTCCTATTAGTTACTCCCATTAGTCCCCAACATAGTTACTGGAATCCCCTACTTCAATAGGTGATTCTTTGTACGATCTCAATTATGTCGTTTTTGGAATGGATCTCTCAGGGATCTCGATTTTTAAATTTTGGGATCTCAATCCCCACAATTGGTGATCCAGATTCTTGCTATTAGGGATTTCGATCCCAACGTTAAAGAGCAAGACAACAATCAAACTAATGATTTTCTTTGTTTATAGTCACTTAACAACACAACTATACTTTTAATATAGTTGCATTGTTTGTTTGTTATAAATAGTGAGATTCCTACTTTAAAGAGTTAACATAATCCGAGATTATCATCAGACACTTTAAGATTGGCAGCAAGATCCCCAAAAAGTTTGGATCAAGATCACAAAAGGTTGGGATCAAGATCCCCAAAAGGTGATCCCAAACATTTGGGGATCTCGTTTCGTAACATGTGCATTGTATTCACAACGTTCCCAACCATAGGGATCTTCTAACATTCACTATCTCCTGCTATCCCGGGTACCATTCCTGTTCCTGATCCCAACAACAATGGTCCCCAACTTCCAAGGCATATAGTGTAAAGCAGACTTTGAGATGTCATCATCATCGTCAACGTCTTTTCCTAACTAATTGGGGTCGGCTACACGAATCCTGATCTGTCAAATTCATGGATAGTTTTGGTAAAGTTTTAAATTGGTTCCGTACCTAACACAACCCACCTCCTTTACCTGTGCTTGGGATGGGTTAAAGGAAAGTTTGAGATGTATGGCTTACAAAATTCTCAAAATTCTCAGTCAGTTTTTATGAAGATGATTAAAATAGGAAAACTCCACGCAAAAAGAAAAAAAAAAGTAATATAAATAATATAAAGAATAAAATTATGACAATGTTTAAGGTGTTCAAAAAGATATTTTTTCCTTTCTGAGTAAACCATCATTTGACCTAGACATAAATCATCATGGATTAAAGGACCATGCAAAACGGTTTTACCAAAAGCAAAACTAGAACTCCAATAACTTCTTCCTTTTGTGGCATGAACTTTTCAGAGGTTTCTGGTTGTGATTCGCTATTTGCATTATCTGCTTTTTATCCTAGTTACACTAGTTGTGAAGAACAAGCTAACTTAAAAATCTCCTTAGATGCACAAGTAGAAAGGCTTATTGCTTATAGAATAGAAACACATGTTGGAAAACATATATTAACATTCAATATCTTTAAGTTTGTAATTTATTGGAAAATATGCTTAAAGACCTGGTGTCCGATGAAAAAAAACTCTAAATCTTAATCCGTTACTTACAATTGGCATGAGCTAAATTCCCCACCGGGGCTACTAGTAATCATTTGAATTTGGGTGACAATAATTCAAAGTATGATGGATGACAATCATAGTTAACCAAGCTTAGATGTTAGTTTTGCATTATTTCCTAGTTCACATATCTCAAGTGATCACTAATAGGTGGTATCTGAGGCTGAATGACATTTAAGAAAGGGTGCTATAGTTTGCATTTTAGGTGTCAGTTTTGATATTGTAAGGATATGCCTTCAATAGCACCTCTTAATTCCCAGAAGTTTGCACCAGCCAACTTCTGATCCGAAAAGACTTCTGGAAGTCAAGGAGGGGGTTTTCCAGGTATAAATGAAATAGAAACAGTTGGGGGAGAGGGGAGATTGGAGATGGAACAGTTCCTACTTCGCCTTCATATGTATGTATGTATGAGAGAGAGAGAGAGAGAGAGAGAGAGAGAGACAGAA